CCTTCAGAATTTTCTATATTTCTGCATAAATATGACCTAAAACATCATCAGATTTTCACACAAGTCCTAAAATTAGATAAATAGAACCCAATTAAACAAATGAGACAAAAATATTATACTTGGTCATATATTTATTTAGGAAAATGATTAAGTATTACATATTTGTGAGTGGTAAAAGTATGTGAACCTCTAGGATTAGCAGTTAATTTGAAGGTGAAATTAGAGTCAGGTGTTTTCAATCAATGTGATGATGATCAGGTGTGAGTGGGCACCATGTTTGAGTTAAAGGACAGGGATCGATCAAAGTCTGCTCTTCACAACATATTTGTTGAAATTTATCATGGTGTGAGCAAAGGAGATTTCTGAGGACCTCAGAAAAGAGTTGTTGATGCTCATCAGGCTGGAAAAGGTCACAAAACCATCTCTAAAGAATTTGGACTCGACCATTCCACAGTCAGACTGTGTACAAATGGAGGAAATTCAAGTCCATTGTTAGCCTCCCCAGGAGTGGTGGACCAACAAAGATCACTCCAAGAGCAAGACATGGCATAGTCAGCAAGGTAATTAAGGACCCCAGGGTAACTTCGAAGCAACTGAAGGCCTCTCTCACATTGACTAATGTTAATGTTCATGAGTCCACCATCAGTTGAACTCTGAACAACAATGGTGTGTATGACAGGGTTGCAAGGAGAAAGAAACTGCTCTCCAAAAAGAACATTGCTGCTCGTCTGCAGTTTGCTAAATATCACATGGACAAGCCAGAAGACTGTTGGAAGAATGTTTTGTGGACGGATGAGACCAAAACAGAACTTTTTGGTTTAAATGAAAAGTGTTATGTTTGGAGAAAGGAAAACTCTGCATTCCTGCATAAGAACCATATCCCATTTGTGAAACATGGTGGTGGTAGGATCATGGTTTGGACCTGTTTTGCTGCATCTGGACTAGGACGGCTTGCCATCCTTGATGGAACAATGAATTCTGAATTATATCAGATAAAGGAAAATGTCAGAACATCTGTCCATGAACTGAATCTTAAGAGAAGGTGGGCCATGTACAGTAGCAAGACAATTAACCTAAGCACACAAGTGGTTCTACCAAAGAATGGTTCAAGAAGAATGAAGTTCATGTTTTGGAATGACCAAGTCAAAGTTCTAACCTTAATCCAATCCAGATGTTGTGGAAGGACCTGAAGCAGCAGTTAATGTGAGGAAACCACCAACATCCAGAGTTGGAGCTGTTCTTTATGAGCTAAAATTTCTCCAAGCTGGTGTGCAGGACTGATCAACAGTTAACGGACATGTTTAGTTGCAGTTATTGATGCACAGTGGGGTGGTGGTCACAACTGGGTTCTCGTTATCTACTTTTATGACTTGTGTGAATATCTGATGATGTTTTAGGTCATATTTATGCAGAAATGTGGAAAATTCCAAAGGGTTCACAAATGTTCAAGCACCACTATATATCTATAGAGCAAAACGCATATTTATGGATGAATTTTAACCCCTTTTTTATTTGTTGTTTAGGAACTTACTTATATTTACTAAACTTGTGCTATGTTCTGTTTGGATGAAGTAGTTCTCCTGAAGCTAATGGGTGTTTTTGCTCTGCAGTATACAGTATGGGCTGCACTTTGGGTAGCCTGGAACGTCTTCATCATCTGCTTTTATCTGGATGTAGGAGGCCTGTCAAAGGTGAGGCTTTCAAAGTTTTTGTGGTCTGAATGTTACGTCACTCAAATATCTGCTGGGTCAGGAGGGTTGCTCTGTACTGTGATGAATGCTTTTATTTTCTTTAAAGTCATGGCTGCGGGCGTGTGGGGAGTAAAGGCTGATTTCTATTCCTCTGCTACACCGCTGGTGTCTTTAGGTAGAGCACAAACCCTAAAGATGTAAACAAAATATGGCCACAAAATGTACATTTTTATTTACATCAAACATCAACTGATGTTGGATATCTGGGTATTTTAAACATTGTTCTGGTTCAAAGATTAATCTAGTGTGAGAAGAGTATATTAAAGAGTGCAAACATTAACTTCTTATGATTTACCATTTATCTGAGCAAACACTGACCCTCGCTACAACTCATGAATGTTAATACATAGAGTTTTGTTTGTATATGGTCAGGTGACCTGATGAGGAGCTGTAGGTATTAACAACAGAAACACACACACATATAATGTGATGCATGGATCTTGTTCTACTGTCAGTTTGATTTTCTATCTCAGACTGATCAACATTAGTCATAAAAGTCAGACTAGGTTCAATATTTTGTGTCTGGGTCAGAAGAAGCCATATTCAAACATGAACTAAGCAGAGAAGTGATACAAAAATGCAAAGAAAACATATTATTTCCTTTTACCAATAACTGCACTATGCGGATTTGTGGGGGAATGGTGGCGCAGAGGTTAGAGAAGGTGGACCTGTGATCGAAAGATTGCTGGTTCAACTCCCAGTACGGACAACATCGAAATGTGGGATAGGTGAATCACCCACAACTGTCTCCACCCTCTTTTGCCCCACTCTGGGCCCTTGAGCAAGGCCCTTAACCCCCACCATTGGCCCCAGCTCTCCACTCCACACAGAAGAATGTGGTTGCATGAGAGGGCATTAGGCGTGAAAATAATTGCCAAGTCTTCGTGTGACTCAATTTGCTGTGGTGACCCCTGAAGAAGGGAGCAGTCGAAAGAAGAAGAAAAAAAGTATTATGCTGATTTGTTTGAAAAAAATCGTACAAATCATTTTGAGAAAAAAATAAGAATCCAAAATATATGACCTAAGTTACATTTTTACCCCAATTTTTGGCCCACTGCTGCACACCATCAACTCTGACATTAAAAAAGCCATTTTCAAGACATCAATTCATTTTTTTAAATTTTTTTTAAACCTTTATTTTACCAGGAAGAAATCCATTGAGATCATCAATCTCTTTTACAAGGATATCCTGGGCTATATACACATATAGCAACAGTCTTAAAAACAGTATCAATGCATTAAAAATAAAATATAAGTAAAAGAAACATACATCAATAAAACATAAAATACAATGTAAGTTAAGAAAATCACAAAACAGTTAAACATTACAGGTACAAGACTTGACTAAAACCTCAGACAATTTTTGTTTAAAACTAGCTAATGGAATAAAAGACTCTAACCTCAACTTAAGCTGCAGCTCGTTCCAAGACCACGGGCCGAAATAGGACAAACTCATCTTTGCTGACTCTGTGCGTACAAAGGGTACCTTAAACCTCAGCCAGCTACTGGCCCTGAGACTGTGTGTGTTCTGTAGTGAAATGAAATTGGAGCAGATATATGATGGTAATTTTCCTAAAATGGCTTTGTATATGAAAATATACCAATGCTTCATTCTTCGAACATTGAGAGAAGTAAGTCCAGCAAGGGTGTATAGAGTACAATGATGAGTCCTAAAGGATGAACCTGTTATATACCTCAGAGCAGCATGGTAAATAGGGTCCAATTTAGCTAAGGTAGTGGGAGAGGTAAATCTATAGACTGTGTCTCCATAGCCCAACTGTGATAAAAACAAACTTGTTACAAGCCGCTATATGGTGCTATATATATTTTATTTATATAGCACCAAGTCACAGCAGACATCATCTCAGGGCACTGAACAGAAACATTCATATATAAAAATAATAAGTTATCACTATTTATCTGACGAGCAGACTGCTTTGAATTTAACTCCATTGCAGAAACTCTCATCTTGAGCAAGCGTGAAGGCGACAGTGGAAAGGAAAAACTCCCTCATGAGGAAGAAACCTTTAGCAGCACTGCACATTAGCATTCCTCATATGGATCAGGAATCAATGTTATCCCCAAGAAACAAATTGTTGTACTACTAACATCAACCACACAATATACTAGTTTGAATGTCCAGAGGACCAGATTTAACTTTTTTAGACACACAATATACTGTATCTTGCAATTATTTAAAAATAGAGAGATGAACAGAGAACAGTGTTCAAACACTGGTTGCTGAGAGCCAACAATTTTGATCATTTTCACCTGAATCTCTATGTGAAAAGCCTAATGTGAAGTTTATGACTTCTGTTTTCAACATCCATGGCAGCAGACGGAATTAACACTGATGTCATGCATGGGGCTTTGAGTCCTTTCAGCTTATTATCTAGCTCCTGATAAAAGACTAAACCATAAAGCAAAAAAACCAAAACAAAAGCAAAACAGAAGCAAGAAAACAAGTTAATTTCCGCAGGGATCTGCAAAACTGAAAAATACCCAGGATGGTAAGACTTCAAACGGCACTCAAAAGTGACACAGATTAGCTGAATGTTTGTAATATTTGGCATAAAAGCTGCACTTGTCTTAACTTGCACACTCTTATGCCTTGAATGCTTCATTATTCTGGCTTTAACTCCATAGAGAAGTATGAACCAAGACTGACCAGATTGTTTATAAAGACGTCACCACCTGCAATCTTGCTGCGCACCCTAAAAGCATCTGTGGAGTCTGTTCTAGTTCTTTAAGACAAGTGGGAAAGTAGTTCATTTAAAAACAGTTTCAGTAAAAGGAGGATAAAAAAAATTAAAGGTAATTCTAAAACCACAAAACCTTTGATAGAAAACGCTTATTTTGAAAATTGTTGCAACAAACAAGTTCCACTTGAAAGTTAGAGGACAGTTGTCTCTTAATTTATCTTAAGTCTTCAGTTAATTTCAAAATGCTGCTGCCAGAGTCTTAACTGAAGTTAGTAGGACAGATCCAGTCAATTTTATTGTCAGTCACATCACATGTACATGAGGTGGAATGAAATTATGTACTCGGGGTCCCAGTTACACCCCAAAATAGCAAAAATGTAAAGTGTAAAAAGAAACATTATATAAGAATTCAAGATATTTGTTGAACGCCAAAATATTTATCCAGTTTTAGCTTCTCTCCATTGGCTCCCTGTCATATTCACAATTTAATTCAAAATCTTACTTCTAATCTGCAAAGCTCTCAACAACCTAGCTCCATCTTATATTAGAGATTTCATTGTTCCATATTTCCCAACAAAGCACTTCACTCTCAGACTGCAGGCTTGCTTGCGGTTCCTAGGGTTTCTAAAAGCAGAATGGGAGGAAGATCTTTCAGTTATCAGGCTCCTCTCTTGTGGAACTAACTTCCAGTTTCTGTCCATAAGGCTGACACATTGTCCAGTTTTAAGACTGGACATAACACTTTCCTTTTTGATAAATTCTATAGTTAGGCTTGGTTAAGGCTTGTTATGCTTCCATAGACGTAGACTACTGAAGGACAAATTGACCACATTTCCTTAAATTAATTGATAAAATTGAATAGTTTTGATTGATATTATTCTTATCTTAACATGTGATTCTTGACCTGCCATTGTGTATCTGTTCCTCTCAAACCCAACCAGTTGAAGCAGATGGCCACTTGTCCTGAGCCTGGTTCTGCTAAAGGTTTCTTCCTCATGAGGGAGTTTTTCCTTTCCACTGTCGCCTTCATGTTTGCTCAAGTTGAGAGTTTTGTGATGGAGTTAAACTCAAAGCAGTCTGCTCCTGACTTTTTAAATATATGAATGTTTCTGTTCACTGTCCTGAGTTGATTCTGTTGTGACTTGGTACTATATAAATAAACTGAATGGAATTGAATTAATTGCACCACATAACTCATTTAACAACGTATAAACCGGTATCAATAATTAAAGTTGTTATTATTATTATTATAATTATTATTTTACAAAAGTAGATTTATCTCCTAAATTGTCTTTTTGTCTGACCTTGTGTCAGATTTAAACTTTCCACTCAGCCAAAATTGTTGCAAAATAGAAAAAGCACAATGGAGCTGTATTCAGATTTGCCATCAACATATACTATAATTAAATATAATGCAGTGCCACCTGATTCAACATCCATCACGTCTAAAGGCTTTCATGTGGATGTAAGTGCAGTCAAAGTGAACACATTAGCATGCAGTGAACAGTGTCATGAATGTGTGCCATAGGCAGCTTGTAAAAATCCAACAGCAAACCCTAAGTTTCTGCTCCCCTGTGGGGGTCTGCGTCCTCCCTGATGAGTTTAAAACATATTTGATTTAAAAAAAATCAGGACCCTCCTGAACACAAAACGTGCATATGAACAATTTAATTCAAGATCAGATTCATATTTCTTCTTTTGTCTTCTCCTCTCACCTCTCCTGAGGAGAATCCTGCCCAACAACCTGCTGACCACAGAGACTAATGAATTCATGTTGGCAACGTTCATCTGACACCTGCTCAGACTGCCAACATGAGTTTCAAACACACCGTCCCAGGCTGCGGCGACTCTGTCATTGTGCGATGATCCTTGGCTCCATCAAGTGTGTCTGACGTTCACTACATATGTGTGAGTGTGTGTGGCCGTGTGCTCCTGCGTGGTTCCTCTTAGAATAATGGTGCTTGTTGGTGCCAGCTGCTTGGGGCTGAGGCTGGGCATTAACCTGACAGATGGAACTAGCTTGGGCTCAGAGCTCTGCATATGGTGGCTAGAAGGAAAGCTGGCTAATGGAGTGCACAAACACGCAGACACATACACATTCTCTCCACGTTGCTCGAGCAAACTCGACATACAGTCTTGTGAGAGGATCTGTCATGAAACAAAGTGAGCTAATTTTTTTTCTGGCTGGCCTTGATGGATTGTGACAGAAGTACTGGAGGGTGTGTGTGTGTGTGTGTG